TGGGGTGTCTCCTGGGTTGAAGGCTTAGATGTTGATTACACAGACCAGCCTAAGCTCTTTAGTTCATCTCTGATACACAAGACACAGAACGGGGTCCATGTAGCAAGTGACTAACAATTGTGATGCTAAGGAAGTGGCCCCTTTACCTTGATGGCATTCTTCTTGCTGGTCCTGGAAACCCGGTACCAATACTGTCGGATCTGCCAGATCAGAAAGAGGCAGAAGACAATCAGATTACCACAACACCGGGGGTCCCTGCAGCTTTGATCCTGGGGTAGTAGGCCCCTTACTGGATCCCACTCAGGGCCATGGAATGGACCCACCACGGCACAGGCTCCCAGAAGTGGTAGCAACATGGCAAAGATTAGGTCAGGTAGATGGTGTTTTAGGGGAGTGGGAAGGAAATACTGGTGTGGCTGGCTCAGCCAGTTTGGGATGATGTACCCCTTACTTCATAGTACCTCTGTCACTGAGGCCACCTCACAAAGGAGCCTGTCTGCCGCTGCACTTTCAGCTCTAGCTAGTTCTGGCTAGCAGGCCCTTGGGAGAGGAAACCTCTCCTGGCCAGACCAGACTAGGCTCAGACAGGAGCTCCAAGATGGAGTGTTATGCCTCCATGTGGCCAAATGGCTAAACAGCGGGTTGGGTTCAAGTGAGACCTGCTCAGCTTTCCCTGACATTGGTACCAGAGCCTTCACCAAGGACAGTGAGGGAAATAGCATCCATAATCAGGGCCATAAACTGTGCCCAGGGAGGGACTGATAAATAGCTTAAGATGATCCCTTGGTAACAAAGACTAGACAGAGGACTTTAATTAACTCTTGGTCCCTCATGGAAGCAAAGACTAGACAGAAGACTTTGAACCTAAAGGAGCTAGTGGCATAATAAAAGCTTACCTCGTTGATGGGTAGTCGGGTGCATTTGGACAGAAGGAATAGCTTCTAATGTTCTACAGCATGGTGGGATAACTATGTTTGACAACACTTCACTGAATTTGTTTGTTTGTTTCTTGGTTTTGAGACAAGACCTTTCTATATACTCAGGCTATCCTCAAATTCACATTGATCCTCCTGCCTCAGACTGAGTACTGGGAATGTAGGCATTTATTACCAGGTTCCATCATATCACACAAGGTGCTGAAGAACTTATCTCCAAATCACTCACTGTCGTCCTCCCCCCTCTCCTCCTCTCCCCTCCCCTACTTTTGCTTTTCTGAGATTTCTGGCTTAGAAATCATTGTACAACCCAGGCTGACCTCAAACTCACAACAATCCTCCTGTCTCAGCTTCCTAAGTGGTGGCAATACAGGCACAAGCCACAAGGCCTTTATTTTATTAAATAAAACAAATTCCATTTCTAGAGTTAAAGGATACAAGAAGTGCTGGTTGGTGGTGGTGCATGCCTTTAATCCCAGCACTCAGTAGGCAGAGGCAAGTGGATCTCTGTGAGTTTGAGGCCAGTCTGGTCTACAAGAGCTAGCTCCAGGACTGACTCCAAAGCAACACATAGAAACCCTGTCTCGAAAGAAAAAAAAAAAGAATACAAGAAGCCTTTCTGCTCTGCTTTGTGGGTTTCTTCTGGAACAGAGGCAGCCTTGAAGGGGTAGGGTCTAGGCAACAGTAAAGATGATGAAGTCATAACAAAACTGTCTAGAGAAAACTTGTTTGACCTTGAGAAAAGAGAACTCAGGAGAGAAGAGGAGGAAGGCTGAAATAGAACATGCTGGGCATCTCCATGTTGCTCTGGCTTAAACCTTTCTGTACTCTGGAGTGAAGAGAATAAGTGTCATGTCAAGAGGCTGCCTGACATGAACGATCAAACGATGTAACCTGCCCAATCATGGAAAAATCTAGGTTCCTGGTAGCAAATAATCCATAGCAAACTAATTTCTTTGAACCCTCTCCAAAAGTTTAAAAAATAAACCTAAATCTTCTATCAAGACTTTTCTCAACAAGACAAAACGGCAGCCTACAGAATGGGAAAAGATCTACTAACCCCACATCAGACAGAGGTCTGATCTTCAAAATATACAAAGAACTCAAGAAATTGGACACCAAACGATCACATAATCCAATTTTAAAAATGGAGTACAGACCTAAACAGAGACCTCTCAACAGAGGAATCTAAAATGGCTGAAAGACACTTAAGGAAATGTTCAACATCCTTAGTCATCAGAGAAATGCAAATCAAAACAACTCTGAGATTCCATCTTACACCTGAAAGAATGGCCAAGATCAAAAACACTTATGCTATTGTGGGGAAAAGGGAACACTTCTGCATTGCTGGTGGGAATGCAAGCTGGTACAACCCCTTTGGATGTCAGCGTGACTATTTCACAGAAAATTAGGAAACAACCTTTCTCAAGACTCAGTAATACCACATTTGGGTATATATCCAAAGGATGCTCAATTGTGCCACAAGGACATGTGCTCAACTATGTTCATAGCAGCTTTGTTTGTCATAGCCATAACCTAGAAACAACCTAAATGCCCCTTGATCGAAGAATGGCTAAGAAAAATGTGGTACATTTACACAATAGAGTACTACACAGCAGAAAAAATAGCAACAGCTTGAATTTTGCAGGAAAATGGATGGAGCTAGAAAACATTACTTTGAGTGAGGTAACCCAGACACAGAAAGACAATTATCACATGTACTCACTCATAGGTGGTTTTTAAACATAAAGCAAAGATCTAATCTACATGGGAAGTAGAAAGTAGAAAAAGACAAGATCTCCTGAGTAAATTGGGAGCATGGGACCTTGAGAGAGGGTTGAAGAGGGGGGGGGGAGAGCCAGGGAGGGGAGCAGAGAAAAATGTAGAGCTCAATAAATATCAATAAAAAAAGACTTTTCTAATGCCATTGCTTTTAGACACTTTTCAGGAGCAATTGTCATGAGCTATTGCGGGTCATGATGCAATTACAGTTTATAACAATTGATAATTCAGATATCAACCCACCAGACAAATGGTTCTCTATTGGAGAAACCCTGAAAAGCAGGGCCTGCAGGGCCACTGACTCTGAAAACTGTTGCTTTAATCTGTAATTTCACTTGTGCAATAACAGTTATGACTAGGCAGTGGTGGCACAGGCCCTTAATCCCAGCACTCAGGAGGCAGAGGCAGGTGGATCTCCGTGAGTTCGAGGCTAGCTTGGTCTACAAGCGCTAGTTCCAGGGCAGGCTCCAAAGCTACAGATAAACCCTGTCTCCAAAAACCTGGCTGTCCTAATAACTAACTCTGTAACCAGGCTGGCTTCGAGCTCAGAGATCCACCTGCCTCTGCCTCCCAAGTGCTGAGATTAAAGGTGTGCACCACCACCATCAGGCTATATTCACTCTTTTAAAAAAAGATTTCAGGAGCTGAAGAGATGGCTCAGAGGTTAAGAGCACTGGCTGCTCTTCCAGAGGTCCTGAGTTCAATTCCCAGCAACCACATGGTGGTTCACAACCATCTATAATGGGATCTGGTGCCTCTTCTGGCAGAACACTGTATACTTAATAAATAAAATCTTTTTTTTAAAATATTTATTTATTTATTTATTATGGATACAATATTCTGTCTGTGTGTATGTCTGCAGGCCAGAAGAGGGTACTAGAACTCATTACAGATGGTTGTGAGCCACCATGTGGTTGCCAGGAATTGAACTCAGGACCTTTGGAAGAGCAGGCAATGCTCTTAACCACTGAGCCATCTCTCCAGCCCCAATAAATAAAATCTTAAAAAAAAATATTTCATGTGTATGGGTGTTTGCCCCAATGTAAGTCTGTGCATCACAGTCCTCACGGAGGCTAGAAGAGGGAGTTGGAACTGGAGTCACCAAAGCTGTTAGTTGCTTTGTGGGTGCCAGGAATAGAATCAATACCCTACGGAAGAGCACCCAGTGCATTTAACCAGTGATCCATCTCTCCAGACTCGATAACTGTTCAACTCCTACAGGCAATTTGAATCTTTCTGGTTGCCTGACCTCCAGCAATACTCAAGTAGCAACATATGTTGAAAATAACCCAGGCCAATAGCTAAAAATCTCAAGCTCTGTGTTAGCGTTGCACTGTTTTCCTCGTGATGGTGGGCAGGCTTCCCTTCTCTCGGCATTTGTTCTCCATCTAGAAAAGTGAGACGCTATTTTGCATGGTTCTTAAACATCTCCCCAGCTCTCAGCTTCTCCACATTGAATTGGCTCCGAATGGTGTGGGCTGGGCTAGATCCAAAAGGTCCCAAATGTGTATGGCACCATGTTGGAATAAACGGGGGGCCTAGAGGATCACTGAGGACCTCGCAGGAGTAAATACTAGACATTAATTTATCCTTTAATAATGGAGTTTTAGTGTGGCAATTAAGAGAGGGACAAGCACATGCCTTTAATCCCAGAGGCTGGCAGATCTCTGTCTTAACACTGAGGAGTTAGACAGGTGAGTTTTTATTTTTTCTTGTGGAGGAAGACAAGGTCTCACGTGGCTGAAGGCTGGCCTTGAACTCGCTATGTAACTGAAGCTGGCAACAAACGGATTCTCCTGCCTCACTTTTCACACGCTGGGGTGACAGGCAAGCCACCACCTCCACCTCAGGCCTGAGAAGAGGATTTTCAAAGGGTACAGTATATGCTCAAAAATAAATAAATAACAAAAAGTCAGGCAATGGCTGGGTGGTGGTGGCCCACACCTTTAATCCCAGCACTTAGGAGGCAGAGGCAGGTGGATCTGAGTTCGAGGCCAGCCTGGACTACAGAGTGAGTGAAAGAACAGATGGGGCTACACAGACCATCTCGAAAAACCAAAAAAAAAAAAAAAGCAAGAAAAAAATGGCACTTATATGGTGACCCTTGAATCCCTTTGTATCGAACGTTTAATTCACAGTTTTGGCCGACAATTTACACTAAGTCGCTAAGGAAACCAGTAACACACGTTCCCTCACGCAAACGGATTTCGGCATTTGAGCAGGGTGGGTCGGGGGCCGGGACGACGTCACTGCGCGCTCCGAGTGATATCACTTCCGCTTCCTCCCGCGCAGAAAGTGACTTCCGCTCGTCTTTCCGTGCGGCGCTTTCGGTCTGTCGGAGCTTGGGTGTTCTCGACCCGCGGCGAGGCCGGCGCACCGCAGCCATGGTGAGTGAGTGAGCGTGTGGGGCCGCCGGCGCGGGGAGCGGGGGACGCGGGCTTCTGCTCGCTCATGCCGGTGGGAGGCGGAGCGCGTGCGCCATCTCGCCCGCCCGGCGATGGCCGACCTCCGGTTCCCGGAGTAGAACTCGGGTCGCCGCGGCGTGGTCGTGGGCGGCAGAGTGGAGAACTCAGGCGGCGGGAGGCCCGGGACCGCCGTGGCCCGAGCCGCTTTGCAGCGGTGGGCGTGGCCAGAGGCCGGGCGCAGCGTGGGAAAATGATCGCCCCACGTGGGATGGCGGAGGGCTATGGAAACATCGTCCTCCATTGCCTTTCGCTTATTTTTTTTTCTTTTTATAATAATCTCCAGAAGATGACATGAAGTCACAGGTAGTCGACTGCTGCCCACCGGCTTCCCACACCCTGGGGTTCAGGAGCGTGGCTCCGTGGGGTCTGCATCTGCTGTCCTGTCGGGAACCCGGTTTAGGGAATCCTGGGGCGGATTACGGTTTGTTTTTTTAGGGACTCAGTATGTAGCCCTGGTTGGCCTGGAACTCGATACGTAGACCAGGCTGATCTCGAACTCCCAGATCCGTCTGACTCTGCCTCCGGATTAGAGGCGTGTGTCTTCACGCCCTCGCATTAAGGATTGATGGGGGGGGGGGGGGAGTCAAGGGAAATGTGGCGTGGCCTCCGCTGGTCGGTGAGACCGACACCTCAGAAGTCAGAGGTTCTGAGAGCCTCACGTGTGACGATAACGCTTCCTCGGCTCCGCTTGAATATTGTAGCGAGAGGAACCGGTTCCAGCTCGTGTTCCTGTCGTAACTAATTGGGATCGGAACACAGTAAGGAGGAAAGAGTTTGGCCGAGCCCTTTCACGTCTCTAGTGAGATATTCATTCAGCCCTTTGGTTCTCTGCTTTGATAACGTTCGCGCCCCCGTCTGGTTTGAGAAAGCCTCTACGGCAGTGCTGAACCCGGGAAAACGTTTTGAGCTCCGGTGCAACTCAGGTTGAACTTTGCATCGACTCTGAAATGGGCAGGAATTAGTTCTAAGACTTGCTGTGCGCGCATCCATCCCTCAAGGACGGGTGCGTTCTAGCTTTGGACTCTAGATCCTCCTGCCTCAGCCTCCGGGGTGCTGGGATTACAGGTGTGTGCCGCCACACCAGAGCTAGTCAGTCATGCTTGGGCCTCGTGATTAGAAGCCGGGATGCTGTTGCCATGACAAGTGTACTGTCTACAGGAAACATTTAATACACAAAAGAATACGGAAGTGTAGTGTGGTAAACAGCAAGCCTTTTATTACTGTGCGTAATTTTATGTGCCACTGTATACAACTAGCAACACGTCGATCAGTTTACAGATATTAAGAAGGTATTTTGCTGGAACTTTAAGGTGACTAGTGTCACTGGCCTTTTTCAGCCCCGTTAGCATTTTATGTGAGCAGGGTCTAGTTGACTGAAGCATTATTAGGTTATGTATGGCTGTATTTGCTAAATGAAAATCATGCATGTCTGACCGTCAGGTATCAAAGGAGACCAAATTGATCAAGCTAGGGATTCAAGTTGACTAGCCTGGGCTGTATAGCAAGCCTTGTCTCAAAAAGGTGTGGTTCTTGGTAGCATGCCCAAAGTCTTGAATTCAGTTGCCAGCACCTCAAAAACATGAAATTAAAGAGACCTAAACTTTTAGATTGTTGTCTAATATTTGAGAACTTGGAGTTCCGATTACTTGAAAGCATTATTTGATTGAGCCCAGGAATTCAGGTCCACCCAACCTAGTTCAGTTTGTTTGGGGGAAAAACAAGTGAATGAATAAATCTGTGGAGGGGAAAATAATGAAAAATAGAAATAAACCTAAAGAGAGGAAAGAAACAGAACACCCTAGCAACCCAAAATGAAGATTAAACCCACTATGTTAGTACTTAAAATATAGGGTCTAAATGTTCCAGCTCTGCATGCCCAAGAGTGCATTTGTCTCCAGAGACCCACCTGCCTCTGCCTCCGCCTCCTGAGTGCCCGGACTAAAGGCATACGGCCAAAACTCCTGACTTTTTCTCTTTTTTACTGCATTTGTTCACTGGTATGGATGTACATGTGGGATCGGTAGACAACCTGGGGAGTTCTCTCCATCATGTGGGTTCTGGAATCATTCAAGTGGGAAGCAAGCACCATTTCAGTAGCCCTGAATTTGTCAAAAGATAAAACCTTATTTTGTATATTTGAAAAATAAAATTAAGCCGGGCAGTGGTGGCGCACGCCTTTAATCCCAGCACTTGGGAGGCAGAGGCAGGCGGATCTCTGTGAGTTCGAGGCCAGCCTGGTCTACAAGAGCTAGTTCCAGGACAGGCTCCAAAGCTACAGAGAAACCATCTCTAAAAACCAAAAAAAATAATTAATTAATTTAATTAAAGGTTATTTTAATGATCATTATAAGGAACTGTATATATTAATATCCTCATTGGCAAAGTTAATTTGAATAACTTGAATTTGATGCTCTGAACTGGGTGGTTGTGGTAAGGAAATCCTGACTTGGTGAGTTTGGTGATAGATGAGGTTATCTCCACGAAACATAGATGCAGAACCATAGGGGATGTTAGTTATCAGACTGCTAAAATAAAACTAGACAACCCGCTAAGGCTAAATAAAAGTATGGAAGTTGTTTTTTTAAGGATCTTTTTTCATTGGTATTGGTTTTGGTTTTTTGAGACAGGGTTTCTGTGTGTTGTAACAGCCCTGTGCTGGGGGTGTGTGATCACTCTTGCCCTTGGAGTCCAGAAGCCAGCACGAGTGGTCAGGCCTGTATTAATAGACATGTTGTGTCTGTACTTAGTTGGGTGCTTTGTTGAATCGCTAGGGGCTGTTTTTGAAGTTGAACGTTGTCTGTCCCTAAAATATGGGGGGGGGGATATGCAAGTGTCTATGTGTAAGGAGGGAACCAAGCTGGTCCTTGTCTTGGTTGTAGATAAATATTTTGTCATTTGTCTGAAATCCCTTTTGATTCTGTTTCCTTACAGACAGAGGCTGACGTGAACCCGAAGGCCTATCCCCTCGCAGATGCCCACCTCACCAAGAAGCTGCTGGACCTTGTTCAGCAGTCGTGCAACTACAAGCAGCTTCGGAAAGGAGCCAATGAAGGTTAGACTCCAGGGTGATGGTGGGGTGCTGTGGGCCTGTTTCCAGCGTTTCTAGTTTGGAAGAAAGACTGTTTTGTTTTCACTCTCCCTCACCCTTCTTCACTTTTGTTTTTAGTTTGTGGACGAGTCTTGCTGTGTTCCCAGGGTGGCCTCAAAGTCCTCATACCTCGACCTCCTAAATAGTTGGGCTAACAGTACACTCTAGACTGGGCAGTGGTGGTGCACGCCTGTAATCCCAGGCCTCGGAAGGCAGAGGCAGGCGGATGATCTCTTTTGAGACAGCTTGGTCTATGAAGTGAATTCCGAGATAGCCAGAACTGTTACACAGAGAAACCCTCTCTCGAAAAACCAATTCTTTACTGACCAATGAAAGATGTGTTGGGTAGTTAGGATGTAGAGTCATTAGTTAATATTTTGCTATCTTTCTCTCTGAATATATAATTTATTTTTATGGGGCCATTTGGAAGGCAGTTAAACTTCGTGTATGAAGTTGTACTCACTCTTTAGAACCATCAAAAGGAAAAGGATTTTAATCCTTTTTTTTTTCTTCCCCAGTATCTGGTGCTGTGAGGTGAATGTATTTTATTTTATTTTTTTTAAGATTTATTTATGCCAGGATGTGGTGGCACATGCCTTTAATCCCAGTACTCTGGAGGCAGAGGCAGATGGATCTCTGAGTTCAAGGCCAGCATGGTCTACAGAGTGAGTTCCAGGACAGCCAAGGCTACACAGAGAAAAGCCCTGTCTCGGAAAGAAAAGAAAGATTTATTATTATGTATGCAGTGTTCTGCCTGCATGTATGCCTGCAGGCCAGAAGAGGGCACCAGATCTCATCCTTATAAATGGTTGTAAGCTACCATGTGGTTGTTGGGAATTGAACTCAGAACCTTTGGAAGAGCAGGCAGTGCTGTTAACCACTGAGCCACCTCTCCAGCCCTGGGATGCATGGATTCCAATGGTTCTCAGAAACATTTTCCTTTTGTCTGTGGAGGAGGTGGTACAGGTAGGGACAGACTGAGGCTAGGGAGTTTTGTGTTTTGTTGTTTGTTTGTTTGGGAGAGCCTCATGAACACAGACTAGCCTCACAAATTTACTCTGTAGCCAGCCGATCCTCCTGTCCCCACCTCTCAAGTGCTGGGATTATAAATACGTTCTACCATGCCTGGCTGTAGCTTGGTTTGGTGAGTGAGCACTTTTTCAGTGGACTAATTACATGCACCATGACATTTCTGCCTAGAGAAAATAAAACCAAATAATTTTCTGTGGTAGAGCTGATTTGTTTTTAAATACTATGCTTGAGATTTTAGGAGAACCCTGAAAAAATGAGAATCTTTTACCTATGTTGTGGCAGAAGGCAAAATAAAGCACTTTTGGGCCTGTTCTGTTGTGTCCTCTTTTGGAGTTCACATAGTGAAGGAAGGTGTGTCCTGTGTCTGCAAGGCAGCAGTGCTGTGGGGAGACTAGAGTGTGCAGTAGGGACAGAGCACTGAGGCCTTGGTGACCCGTTCACACTATAGAAGCATTACTTCTCGCTGGTCGATCTTTATGCTGAGTGGGTGAGGAAGACATTAAGGATTAAGCAACTGGCTAGCATTTGAGTGCCTTATCACAGGGCTGCTCCAGCCAGAAAATTGCTCTCCCCCGCCTCATCCCCTTTTTGAGGCAGGGTCTCACTATGTAGTTTTGGCTATCCTGGAACTCAATGTGTAGACCAGACCAGGCTGGCCTCAAACTCAGAGAGATCTGCCTCCCTATTGCTGAGATTAAAGGTGTGTGCCACCTTGCCTGACTTGTTCCTAAGCATTTTGTCTGCTTCCTTGTACCTGTTACTTGTTCTTTGCGTTGCTGTGGCTGCTCTGCCCACGTCCCATGTTATCTGTTGATTTCATGTCCTGTCTCAACAGCCACCAAAACCCTCAACAGAGGCATCTCTGAGTTCATCGTGATGGCAGCAGACGCTGAGCCCTTGGAGATCATCCTGCACCTCCCACTGCTGTGTGAAGACAAGAATGTCCCCTATGTATTTGTGCGCTCCAAGCAGGCTCTAGGACGGGCCTGTGGGGTCTCCAGACCTGTCATCGCCTGTTCTGTTACCATCAAAGAAGGCTCTCAGCTGAAGCAGCAGATCCAGTCCATCCAGCAGTCTATTGAAAGGCTCCTGGTGTAGGCCTGTGGCTCTGCCCGCCCTTCCTGTCTGCTCCCACCCTACTCTGTATCATACCGTCTGTTAGCATGTAGTGTTTTCAGCCAGTTTCTATTATAAATATTGTACTACATCTGGTTTTTGTATTTTATAGTCTTACAGGGTTGTTCTGTCCCATCTCTCCACCCTCTCCTACCATTTTTAATCTGTTTCACTTACACTAAGCAAAATGATATCTAAAGCAGGTGAGAGGCAGAACGGCACAGTTTAACAGTGGGAAGAACCAGGAAACACCTAAGCCATCTGCAAACTCACTCCTCTGCAGGACAAGATGACAGTAACACTCGTCCCTTGCACCTTTGCATAGGAGATCTCCATATATGCTACCATGACTGAAGAGCTTTCAGCAGCCCCTCCCACCCACCGTCATTTGAAGAGAAAGTCTGATAATGTTAAACTTACGTCCAAGTGCCATTTATTAATGTTGTGTTTTTGATATGTGTAACCTTCTATTCTCACCCCATTCCCTACTGAGGGTATCAAGGCAGTAACAATTCAAAGGGATGGTCTGCAGACTCCTAGGCGGCCTGAGTTTGACTGCCTGGATCTTGAAGAGTGACAAGGACAGAATAGTTGTAATAAAGAATATCGGGGCTGGAACTCAGAGCAGAGACAATGCTGTCAGGGACATTCTGCCCTTCGTTGAATGGGGATTTCTTGTGGGGCTGTTTGACACCCACTTGGAGAGCCCTATCCCTTTCCTCCTTCAACATGGGTCAAATGTATTCTCTGTCACATGAAGAGCGAAAATAATGTTCATTCTTGAGCATCCTAATAAATATGTTCATATTACATTTTAAATGTGGCAGCAGTGCCTGATTTGGGGTTTTATCAGCTAATATCTGAAAATGAAACACTTAGCATTTCTAGGGCAGTTGTGACACGGGTAGGGAAACATTGAGATGTTCCGGGTGCGTAGACCAGACTGGCCTGAATTCTTAAGAGATCTCCCGCCTCCACCTCCCATGCTGTAATTACAGGTATGCACTACACCCCTGCTTTATTGTATTTTGATATGTGTGTTGGTGTTGGAGATGAAGCCCAGGGCTTCCGAGGTACTCTACTACTGTTCCGAGCCCAGCTGTTGTTTCACTTGGTGCTAAGCAGCAAGCACACACCTACTACTGAACTATATCTCCAGCCTTAACTCTTCACTGAGAGGCCATGAAAAGCCAAGCGATGATGCACACACCTTTAATCCCAGCATGCTGGACACAGTGGCAGGCCTGGTCTACACAGAAACCCTGTCTGTCTGAAGGAAAAGAGGGACTAGCACTGACTGCTCTTCCAGAGAACCTGGGTTCAATTCCCAGCACCCACATGGTGGCTCACAACTGTCTGACTCCAGTTTCCAACACTCATAAACATGCAGACAAAATACCAAATCATATAAAGGTAAAAATAATATTAAAAATTTCTGTCCCAGCCGGGCGGTGGTGGCACACGCCTTTAATCCCAGCACTCGGGAGGCAGAGGCAGGCGGATCTCTGTGAGTTCGAGGCCAGCCTGGTCTACCAAGAGCTAGTTCCAGGACAGGAACCAAAAGCTACGGAGAAACCTGTCTCAAAAAACAAAAAAAAAAACAAAAAAAAAAAAAAAAATTTCTGTCCCCACTTGTTCTATATAGCAGGATTTCCTAACACAAGTTGGTTGGTTGCAGGCAGCCTGGCAGGCGTCCGCACACTAGATGGCAGTAACAGTCTACCTTCTCTCCCAACCAGAAATGAAGCCATTAACCAGTGTGCCCTGGGAGTTGAAACCACTATTGGCAGTCAGTCAGGCACATGAAGAGTTGGCAACTGAAGTCACTGTCACTTCTGCCTCTTGCGCTTTACACCTCTATCACACAAACAGGACTTTAGTTGAGATCTAACAGTGTGCAGATAACTACCATACAAGTCAGAAGAGTGAAGACAGATGATGCTCATCTTTATACAAGTCAGAAGAGTGAAGACAGATGATGCTCATCTTCCTCAGTCTGGTTGGACAGGAACCCCACTGCTAAGGACCTGTTTACCTACCGGGCCAGTTATCCCAAGCAGGGTATTTGTGGATTCGGGTTTCAGGGAGTTCTGTCTTTGTAAATTCTTTTGTTAATATGAATCCAAAAGGAGTTCTGTTTTTTATCTGCAAATATATATGTTCACTGTGTGCTTCGTGCCCATGGAGATCAGAAAGGGTATTGAGTCCCTAGAAGTGGAGTTATAGATGGTTGTATATATATATATATATATATATATATATATATATATATATGGACTGGGAAACAAACTTGGGTCCTCTGTAAGAGCAACAAGTATCCTTAACTGCTGAGCCATCTCTCCAGCCCCAGCATCATATATTTAAAGAGAACAGGTAGGAAGACATGGGAATACAATCTTCCTAAGGCTTGTCACTCCAGAAGGACCTGTATGACCACTTATCCATTCCCACACTCTTCCCCGACCTCCTGTTTGTTTCCACTTGATATGTACATCCGGAGGGGGGAGGAATTAAGCTAAGAGACAATTAGAGTAACCTCTGGATTTGAGGCAGCTACTTCCCCGTTCATATTGAACAATACACAGTATAAAGTTAGAGCTCTTTATTCATATAGTAGTGTAAGGCACAGCACAGCAGAGTGGGAAGGCCACAATCCATGATAAAGTCCCTTGCATTTCTATCAGGCAGCTCTTTGCAGCTTGGTGAGACACAGCAACTGGTCTTCACTTCTGGAAGTGTCTGGTGAGAGCATCTAGCAGTTCCTGCTTCTTCGGTCCACTCTTGAGCCCATAGGCTTTGCAGACCTCCTTCAGTGTAGGCACAGTGAGCTTGCCCAGTGTGCCCTTGGCACAATGGGCCTTCAGCTCTTCTTCTGATAACTCCACCTTAATCTTTTTACTTGGAGAACCTTCATCTAGAGAAAAGGCAGGAAGGAACAACCTAGAAATTCTTCCAGTGGTACCCTAGCAATGTGGCACAGGACCGTCCTAGGATGCGGATGCAGTTGACCATTTGCCATCTGCTCATCTAGTGCAGATGCTCATTCTGTGTGGGCCCTATCACTTTTTCTTTTTTTTCTGGAACACAGCATAGCAATAGACTGCTTGCCTAGTATGCTTAAGGCCCTGGTTTCAATGTCAGCAAATCCAAGGTGTAAGAAAATAACCATTTAAGTTCTGAGGCACCAGGCAATAAAGACAGGGCGAGTGACAAATTTACTGGTAAACCAGACAATGTCTGACGCAACCTCTAGGGAATGACAGGAGTCAGTTCTGAAGCAAAATGGAGCAATCAGGATGGCCACCAATCTGATCTCTTGACACTCCTGTCGTCATGGGTCTACTGGGCAACGAGGATTAAATATGGTTTTACTTTGCCAAAGACAGCCAAAAGGATTAGAACCTAAGCCAGAACCATTCCAAAATGGTGACAGTGTATCTGGTGCTTCTCTACAAACGTGAGCCTCGTAGTAAAGGAAATCTGTAAGGAAAATGGTCAGTGCCAGGAGCAGACAACAGGGGGAGCCAAAGAGACTACACTCGCAACTGGAGGGCTACACGTCAAAGAAGGACATATATTCTCTTTACCATTGTCTTTGCAGAAACTTAGATAATTAGGGGCCAGAGCGATGGCTAAGCAGTTAAGAGCACTAGCTGTTCCTCCAGAGGTCGCAAGTTCAATTTCCAGTACCCACATGGTACCTCACAACTGTCTATAACTGTAGACCCATGGGATCTGATGCTCTCTCTTCTGGTGTGCAGATGTACAGATAAAACATCATATAAAACACATAAATAAATCGTACAAAATTAGATAATAGGCGTAAAGTACAAGATTGTTAAGAGCATAGAAGCCAGTGTGGTGATCCATGCCTGTAATCCCAGCACCCAGAAAGAGAAGTCGGGGTTTCCTGGACTTGAGGGTCAGCCTGAACTACAAACACCCTGTCGCAAAGCAAAACAACTAAAGAACATATAAAAACAGACTCATTTCTTCCTAGATGGAGTATAAATGTCACTTTTTTGGAGGCTGTGTATCCCAGGTCCTCCTGTCATTCCTGAGTGCTGGGTCTATAGGCCTGTGCCACCACATCCAGCTATTGATGCAATTCTTATCACATGTGTACCAGTGCATGTCTTTGTAGAGGCCAGAGAAGGATGTTGGGTGTCCTCATCTATAGCTCTCCACCTTATTCCCTTGATATATGGACTTGTCCCTATCTGCCCCATACTGCCCCACTACCCCATGTACATAGATTTCTGAAAAGGCTGGGATGAAGCTCAATGACAATGCTTACTTGGAGATGTGAGGTCCTCACTGACCCCTATACACTCATCATCCCCCCAGAAATGAAGAGAAAAGTAAGAAAGCCAGTTATGTCTGTGATAAGACCATAAAGACCACAAGGAAACCTTTGAAAGGAGCATGCCGTACATCAAGCAGCAGCCCTCACCTTGTTTTCTCTTGGCAGTTTTGCTCTCGGGGTCATAACCTGGGGGGTAGACAAGTTCTTTAAACTCATCTACCAGGGAACCCAGTCTTTTCTTCATGGTTTCAACCTTGGGCACTAGAAAATCAAAACAACAGGGTGCTCATGTGAGTCACACGCATTCCAGTGGCCTGTCCATTCCAGTTCTGTGGGAAACACGAGAGCACTGAGTCAGGGGACCAAGAAAACACGGACTAGATCCTTCTGGCATCCTCCATGCATAGCATCCTCAGTATTGTGATGGACCAGTCTATGACCTCCTTAGATTCCCAAGTCTTGAAAAATGCCAGTTCCTTATTTAAATGGCTTAGTGCCTTCATATATCCTACACACTCTCTCTTGCACTTGGAGGGAACTGAGGATACGGGAGTGGTCCTTCCTCACAGGCTGCTAAACTGAAAGACTGTCTTCTGCTAGACAATCCCCACAATCATGTCTGCTTTTAATAAGAGCTATTTTGTCTGATGTAAGACGCTTCAGAGAATTAGGACACTAAGCAGGCCAAACTAATTGTTCTGGTGCTTTTAACTGTCACGAGGACCTTCATTAAGTCCAATCTACTTCCAGTGACCATTCACTTCCCTGTCACAGCCTGTATCTTCATAAACACTATCAAGAAGGGGTCTAAGAGCCGGACGGTGGCGGCGCATGCTTTTAATCCCAGCATTTGGGAGGCAGAGGCACAGATCTCTGTGAGTTCAAGATCAGCCTGGTCTGCAAGAGCTAATTCCAGGGCAGCCTCCAAAGCTACAGAGAAACCCTGTCTCAAAAAACCAACAACAACAAAAAAAAAAAAAGGGGGGGGGGTCCTGATAGCAAGGCCCGAGAGAAAAGCAGCAAGTATAGCGGTTCAGGGCGAGGGAAGGACTCTGTTTCCTAATGTATTCACTACTGACTGCTCTGAGAAACCAACCACCCCTTTCTCTGGAAAGTAAGGGCAGCAGAAGCCCCCGCTTCAGAACTATGGATATTAACTGAGTCAGCAGGCAGGACAACAGTGCCTGCCACACTGCAGGCCTCAGTAAATGTTATCAGCATTAACTTTCACCACACAGACATGGGGTGGCCTAGTTAGTTGAGTCAGGTCTCAGGAGCCTGGCACTCTTTCCTCCTGACAGTGCAGAGCTAGCCAAATGTGTTCCAGGCAGTCTAAGGTGACCTAGAAAACATCTCAAGCAGAGACGGTCTGAATGAGGAGTCTTGGAGATGGCTAGAAAAACACTTCAGATCACTGGTCAGAGGGTCAAAAGCAAAAGCTGTCTTCCTTTGTGCTTCCCCCAGCACACACACACACCATCACCACTTGCTACTGGACAGG